AGGAAACAATCAGAAACTAAAACAAAACAAAAAAACCCCAACCAAATAAAACTGTAACGAATGCAAGAACACCATGGTCCCTGCCAGTCAAGCTCTATTTTTTCTGTTTTGTTCACCATCAGCAATAAGAGTTCTGGATTCTAAATATAGCCAGTTGAATGGATTCCAGAGTATTTGCCACTGGAGGGAGTATGTTGCAATCATTGAAACATCCTTGCAAAAAATTCCATCTTTATTCTCAAGACCTCCCCACTCTATGACTAATCAAAATACTCTACTTCCACCATAATAAATTTCATCACAACTATAGCTATTGGATATTGTAAGAATTAATAAGACTTTTTATTCACTCTCCATAAGTGACCCCATTTTTCCTCAGGTTACCTGTTTCTAAGTAGGCTTTTGTATCTCATTTTAGATTCACTGTGACCTAGATGAGGAACTGAAAGTCTTATGTTATTTATGCCTCTGCCAGCTCTGGTTTTACTTATTTTCTATGATGAGCAGATCTGTAATTACACTGGGCTTCTCCCAAGAACTCAGTAGCCCTTCCATAAAATATTGGACAAAGTATCTGATTTACTTTTTGAAATGGCTAATTTCCACATGTTCACTGACATATATGAACTGTTTCAACTTTATAAAATTTTTTTAGTCCCTCTAATTTCCTGTTAACAACAGGCAGAAGTTCATTTCACAGACCACTAAAGCCTTCCCTCATAGTAATATCTCTACTTGCTACATGGCTGAGGTACACATTGAACTAGGAATAAATCTCACACATCCATCTTCTCAAATCCTATCATCTTTGACAATGGCACTATAGCTCTCTTAGAATTAAAGTTCAAGTTATTGCTTTGCTCCCAATCTAAAGCACCTACAAAAATCTACATTTTATTTCTTTATCCCAAAGGCAAACTGAGATAAAGGATTTAAAATTATGTATACCATGCACAGGCCATCAGTCCAAGCTGAAGCAGAGATCCACCAGCTGTGCCCTTCAAATAGAATAAAAAAATTGTATAGACATATTATAATGAGAAAATAAACTTCTGTCCAAAATAAAGTGATCTCCTTGTTAGTTTGGATAATGATAGTATTTTAACTAATTAGCAGGGAATATAGAAAACAATAAAATTTTATTTTTAGCCATAGGATGCATCAACCATTTTGGAGGGATCATACTGTATTAGATCATACTGTCAGGTGTGTACTACCCAAGGAAATGCAATATTCCCACAGTCCTGCAATTTATTGAATCTTTACAAATGACAGTTTAATTTTAATGAGCGCTCCTTTCACAGCACAAAGTGTTAACCTTATCCATAGATACTGACTTTCTCAAATTTATCTAGAAAATAAATTAACCAGTGGATTTTAGCATAATTTCAGTAAGATACTGACCATTCTTTTTTTAAAAAAGAAAAAAAAAAAAAACAAAACTTTTTATTAGACAATAGTCTGTGCTTCCACTGTCAAAATGTTTTGGGAAATAGTATTCATACATAAAGTGGTAACAGGGTAACTCATCAAAGGACTTTAGTATAAATTATAATCAAGGCTTCCATGTTTTAAAACATGTGCAAAATTAATCAGTTGCTTCACTTCTCATGAATTCCAGACTGATACAGTGGAATCAGAAGTTTTGCAAAGGGTCAGGAATGCTTGTATTTCATTGATGTATATATGAGTACTTAAAAACAGTACCTTTTTGAGAACTGTGCATATTTTTTACAAAAAACTAATTCCATAAACAATATACCTCAAATTTATAAATACATGATTTACAAGAAATCTGAAATACACTGTTGTGAAAATCGGGAGTTCTTTGCATCAAAACTATTTCTGGATAGGTATTATATACGTTTCTGTATTATGCAGCTCCTAGAACAACAGATCCTTGATGCAGCCATTTGAGGTCTCTGGAAATGTTAGCCACACAGTTAAGTACAGATCACTAGAGACAAGATTCTCTTCCATTGCTAGATACAGTCAGATACAGTTTCACCACCTCTGTCACAGAAGGACATGGAGGACCCATAGGATGCTAAGACTGCAGTTCAGTGTCTTCTGGTGAAGAATAGTTCTTCAGATCAGATGCCTAAACTTTAGGTTAGTTTTGCTGTAAAAGTAGCAGATATTTTGTAATCCCAGTTTTCCTCCACAATTCTCTAACACATTGTTTTCAGAGTAGTTTATTATATTCCTACAGGATTCCAAGTTACAGCATAGGATTCAGAACACATGAGGATGTAACGATTTAATCACAGTAAAACTGCCCTCTGACTAAACCCCTGGAGTAGTATTACTTAAATCTCTAGGATAACATGCACCAGAACACTACAAGAATTCTATTCTGCTCTCCTGTAAATGGAGTTTGAATATTTCTTAGTTCATTGTAAATTAGTACAGTAAATTTCAACAGTTTCTGACATCATACTTTTTAAGTAAGGGAAACTTTGAAAGACAAGGTCATGGTAAAGATGAATTTATTAGTTTGCTTATTATCCATGCAAACTTGGGAAAAGCGGAGAAAGGGATAAAACTTTATGAGTGACTTCATAAGGAGGGAAGAAAGCATATTTTTCCATCCCATGCTGAAGTATTTTGATAAAATTAACAAGAGAGAGTCTCCCAGCTTTCCATCACTGGTTAGAACTTTGATCAGTGATTTTTGCAATGTAAAACCACGTTTGCTATATCCTGGATTCCTTTTCTCAAAAGCATGGAAGCTGACAAATAAGTTCTATCACTGATCCATCCAAGGCAAGTTTAATATATTGATCTCTGCTCAGGTGCATGATCCATGTATTTTTGCAACAGCAGTAATTGGTTTCATTAAAATAACCCTATTTGTGACTTCTCTATGTAGTGAAAATAAGACACAAAGCAGGCTTTAAATGTTTAAAAAAAAAAAAAGGTGAACAAAACCAGTCTCTTCATTTCTTAAAAATAAATAACTCAACCTTCTTTAATCCTAAAAATATACTTTTGGAGATATACATCCTTATTATGTCTAGAATTAGTGAGTTATAGTGAGGCAACTTTTGTTTGGCCTAGCACTCCATTAAGGCATTGTTCATGTGCAAGACCCAGATACCCATACATACATTGTTTAACTGAATTAAGGCATTCATGTTCACTAAATGCCTTTTTCAAATGGCAAAACCCCAAACATTCTTTAACAAAGTAGCAAACATGAAATATTTCCAAGAGACTGATTGAAATGCAATGAACTAGCACCTAAGTAACACATTATGTATTTTGATATTAGATCACTGTTTCACAACCAGATCACCAAAAGAACTCTTCCAAGTTCAAACTCAAGAATGCTTATGAAGAATACCAAGTTCTTCAAAGGCTTAAGACTAAAAAATAGTATGACTGACTGTGACAGAGGCAGATAAAGTACCAAATACCACAATTAAAAGTATCAGAACCATTGCACGATGAATAATTCCTTTTTGTATTGATGTTACTTGAAAAGTGGATAAATATATATAAAAACAGAATGTATATACTTCATATGTTTATGGGAAGTTTTAAAAAAGAAAGAAAATAATGAAACTGTACCAGTAATAGTATTTCACATCCATTTTTCAGAAATATGAATGAGAATACAAAGCATGTAATGCTCAATCATAATACAGATTGCTAAGATTGCTAATCATATTTAACGCTGGAATTCTACATACTATGAAATTGAAATTTGTATTGAACTCAATAGCAAAATTCCCACTGACTTTAATAGAGCCAAGATTTTACTCTTCGCTGTAGCACAAATTACTTTATGGTTTATATTCAGAACAGTTACTTTCCATAGAGCACAAATGAGGAAACACTACCTGTATAATTACAATTCCTGGCAAAGGAAAAAAAAAAAAGAATTGTATCTCAGCATATTCCTGAATGAGATCAAATTCTGGACTGTATGGCTTCGACAATTTCTTTCTCCAAATCTACACAGGGTCCAGGGTCACAAGTTTGTCCCAGGAAATGTCATATATAATAAAGAAATTCCCACAAGCATATCTGAAGAAGCCAAAGCAATAATAATATGGAAGTCTCCTCTCTTACTCGTACATCAATGGGAAAATGTTTACTTGTCAAAAATGTTGTCAAACATTTGCTTTGTTTCATTGTCATTTAGGTTCTGCACATTTCAGCAAGAGAGGTCCACAAATGGAAGTTGCTTCAAACTTCTCACTTCTTGAAACTTTAGTGGAGTGTTTATTGGGACTTTGGAGAAGCTGTTCGTGACACTGTGCATATTTGGAAGCTGACCCATATCTGTATTCACAGGTTTGACACAAGAGCACAGAACCTGGGGGCAAGGGTGGAAGGGGGAAGAAAGTATTGCAAGGAATGATAATTCTGAAAGATATGAGATGAAATACTGAGTTCTTCTTTGGGCAGCCTTCTTTTAGGCATGGACTTGCTATAGTTGCTGGTTATCTGGATGCTGGGGGTAAAGTATGCCACTATACACAAAAAAACAACAACAAAAAAAATCTATGAGCTTTTTGTTTATAGGAAGAAAATTCCCTTGTACCATAAAAAGGGATGTCTTCATTCCATAAAGAGAGATCAGTGCCTCAGAGGAGGTTAAAATTAAGTTAAGGCAAAGACAAGGCCTGTGTACATAGAGATCGGCTCCATGTTTCCCCACTTCTAAATGATAATAAATCATTTTAAACAAAGCCCTGCTCCTGTAATTTCTTTTCCAAGTGGGGGCTTCCACTCAAGTTAGCCAGACCCTTCAGTAATAAGATCTGCTTGCTAAGAATAGGGCCCAAGAAATTTTTATATATTCTACACACGTCTATATGTATTTGCACACACACACACACACACACGTACATATACATGCACAAACACACACACACACACACACAATAAATATATGTATATATATGTACATATGCAAAGAGACAAGATTGACAAGCATGTCAGACTTGGAGTGTTATCCGCCATTTAAACTACTATCTACACAGTACATATTGAAACTCAACTTTAAGATTTTTTATTTTTATGTACAGTTCATTTTTTTCTCTGGAAATAAAATATCTAAATACAGACAGACTGTAATGTTGTATATGTATAGCTTTCAACAATACTTTAGCTGAATAAATGCTTTGTACATAGTTCTGTCTTTTAATGGAGTTTACAGCTACATTGATAAAATGGATTCCTCATTTCCTTGATTGTTTTTAACCAATAACAAGCAGAGAGACAATTACAAGTTAATATTAATAAGCAGCTCAAATAACACCGGTTAAATTATGTACAATACAAACCATTCATACAAATGAAGACTAGGATATTGAATTTGTTACAATATTTTGTAATAAAGATAAGACAGCCACTTATAACTTACATGTTCTCCGCCAGGCATTTTCCTTCTTAGAGATCAGTTGGAGAGTTTTTAAGTAGCTTAGCTGGCCTAAACTCAACCAGGTTTAAAGAATCAGAGCTTAAAGAGTCAGAGAAACATGAAACCAGAATGTCTGCCCACATGTAAATTCCAAATGTTTGCCCATCTTTACTAGTAACAGGCTCGCTCCATGGAAAAAGAGCCACCTAACACCACCTCGAATGTGCCTACTGTATGCTGGAAAAAAGTCACGATGCTTTGCTGTGTTCATATAATAAGGAATACTGAAATCTAGACACACATTTTTCCCATTTTAACAAGTATTTACTCCTACAGTATTATTTACCAGCACAGCTACTCCAAGCAGTAGAATGCATGAGTGGGGATTATTGATTGGCGTGTACTCAAAGGACTTTCAAAGAGATTTCCATAACAGTCTGTGTTAGAAACCATTCTCTGTCTAGTTAATCCATTTTGCTTGATGATAGGTTATCCTGAAACCTTAGATATTGGACAATGAAAGCTCTCTTAACAGGAATCTCAATAGATGTGAGCTGAAAAGAGTGTGTGTCTTTGTGTACGTGTATGGTTTTATTTCAAATCCATAGTGATTTACAACTAGATTGATACATGGAGCTGACGGGGCAAAAATTACATTAGATTGTTTTCCACTAACATATTTGCAGCCATTTGACATCAGCAGCAGCAGGTAGACACATTCCAGGCAATAGATGTGGCCTTCCTCCTTGAGGTTACAGCCCTGTCATATGACCTCTTTTATTCCCCAGGCTTCAGTCTCAGACACACGTTGGTCCTCACCCTGATGGGAAGTAGGGTGTGTCACTGTGGTAGTTGTAATCAGGACACACCTTCTGTACTAGTTTATAATCTGTACTATAAAAGGAAATGTAAATACAGATTACTTTAAAGGGCTTGGAGCAGAGCCATGACACGTGGCTCTGGGTCTGCTCCTGATAACAGGTTTTTGAAGGGTCATAGTTGCAGAGTGTGTTCTTGGTAGCCTTGTCAACCTTTTCGTACTCAATTCGACAGTTAAAGGACTTGGAATCTTTGGCATCAATCACCGTCTGTTGTGCCAAGTCAAATTCCACTATTTTTGTAGGGGGCACTAGGCTCACAGATACATTCCCTTGACCAGTGGAGTTATGCCTGAAGTAAACACTAAACGTCCCATTGCCATGGTCAACGATTTTCCCCGTTATTAACAGATTTAGCTTCACAGTCTTGATGTTGGAATGAAAATCGCCCCAGCCAAACATTTTCTTAAATTTCCCAGTTTTGACAATGGGCCGTCTCTTTGCTCTGGGCCGAGGCTCTTGCAGGTCTGTGGAGTTCCTCAGCCAGTCCCAGAGATCTTGCTCAGAATAAGTTTCTGGGGCATCGTATCGCAGGTCCAAATCTGTATCATTTTCCTTTCCACGAAAAGTCTGTGACAGCAGTCGGCTGATGGACAAGTCTTTGCTACTTTCTGTCCATATGTGCTTTAGTGTGGATTTGGAGCTTCCTGATTTTAGAAGTTCTGTTTTTCCTCCATTTGTTAAATTTGCACAGGTAACCTGAAAAAGAAAGAAGGGAAGAAGAAAGAAAGGATATATTGAGATACGTAATACAAAATCCATCATTCCCACCCAAGACCAAAATGATCAGATTTCAAAATCATAGGGATTTTTTTTTGAGAAATTAAATTATATCTCTGTACTCAGTAAAACAAAACAGAAACATCTATTTTCCTCTTCTTTCCAAGTAGTCATTACTTAATTCTCCTTTGTCAGTCTTTTACACTGGCCTTCAGATTTAATCCCAGCTATTCGCATTATTTTTCAGCCTGAAATCTACTTCCATTATGATGCCTGTAAGTGATGAGTATGCAATGAAGTACTGCAAAAACTAAGGTACACAGCCATGTCATCCTCCAGTCTTTATGTGGCTTTCATTGGCCATTTCTCATCTCAGAGTGAAGTACTCTTGCTTGAATGTTGTCTCTCCAAAGTGACTGTGTCTTCCACCATCACATTCATTTATTTTTGCTGTCCCTGGAGTCCACTGTCAGGGTGCTGTCTTCGTGGTGCCAGCCTGACCATGCTCAGAGTCCGTGTCATTATAAATCTAATAATAGTAATATAATTTCCCTACTCCTTTTATGAGTACACATTGGTCTGTGTTCTTGACTGGGACCTTCAGTCACAACTACAATATAAATAATAATGAAAATTTTAATGCGTTTTGCGTCAACAGCTGTACGTATTCTGTGCTGTACCTCAGTTAATGCAAGAGGAGTCACAGTCTTCTCTCATAGTCCCTTACAGATTAGATACTGATTTGCCTTGTCTGTATCTAGTATGACATGCATTTCTCCTTCCTCACTTCTTTTTTTCACACCTTCCTCCCCAAACAAAAACATGATCTGTGCAAGAAAGCAAGCCATTTGTGTATTTACAAAAAAAAAAAAAAAAAAAGGGCCACCAATTTAATAGTAAAAAAAATCCTGCAAAATCACATTTTTAAAAAATACAAAATCTTGCACCAAGTTCCTACAAAATCATAAACTTCAGCCATAGTTTTTCACAGAATTTAGTGTCAGAGCAATTTGTTTTATTTATATTTTTTCTCTTTGCCTTAATTGTGTGGAAAACAGAGAACAGATGCAGCCTTGCAGCTGTCTGACATGCAGCACTGGTAGAGAGCTCTGACAGAGCGTAGCAGGAAGGGCTGGAATTGGCAGGGGGTAGTGGGTGGATGGAAAGGGACCGACAACACCCTTAGTCCCATTCCCCCTAAAAATTCGGACCGGATGCACTGCCACATTTTTTAACATTTGTCCTCTGAAGAGGACATCAAGTTTCTTATTTCCCTTTTCATGGCTAAATAGGAGATTCTGAATATGCCTGTTTTATTCCTCTGTGTTCTGGCACTGATTTACATGCTTCTATCATACTTGCAGTTACATCTTTCTCTTCACTTAAAAATGAATTGAGTGTATTCCCAACCCAGGAAACCCATTGGAAACCAGCTAGTATTTAAATCATGTCCCCTCCCTACTGGTACAACTGGAGGTATATGTCACGGAGGATATCTATCACAGCCTGGCCTTTTCATTTCCTAACAATCATGGAATTGAAGCATGCTTTCATTAACTTCAGTACTTTTTCAAGGTCAGTTGAAGGCACATACATAAAATCAGTCTAAATTGTCTTAATACATTGATCAGATAGGAGGCATGCCCCCAGCCTTTTACAGTAAACAAATAGGTAAATAAATCTGTCACATCCCACACTATACCTTCCCTGTGCATTTCAGGTTGATGGGCCAGTAAGGCTAATAGAAAAAATATGGCTTTTATTTAGAATTTTGCCAAAGAGATGACTTCCTCCTCTTTTGAATGGAAGGAAGGATTAAAACACAGACTAGCATTTTGATAGCCAGTTTGTAGCTGCATCTTAGCATCAACACAGTGAGCCAGGAGAGAAGCTGTAATGAAATGCACTGATGGTGCACTGGTTAATGAAGCAGCAATGAAGATGTCACAGGGAGAGAGAAAGAGACTCAGAATATAATTTTGCTGTGGCATATGGGGAAGGAGTGCAAAATAAGAAAAGAAATGTGGTTAAAAGGAAAAATATGCCTGTCTAGCATGAATCTGTCAACCTGCTATGAATCTAAGCAGTTAGCTAGCAGAGCCAGCATACCTGCAATCTGTAGGTAAGATACAGATTGCTTACCACTATATTTTTCTTTGCTCACAGCTTGTTTTTCTTTTGTTTTCCTTTCTGCATCCAATGATTTACATTTCATAGGATTACACTACAAGTTCCATGTAACAAGACGTAATGGTATAAAAATCTTCTAAAGAGAAGGTCTCTTTTTTTCAGATGTATAAAACTGAATACCCAGGAAAGGAAGGAGGTATTTTCTGAAATGGTTGCTGATTGATCCAATACAGGTGGTTTTTTGAAAGCCAGTATATTTCATGAAAATGGATGATTCAGATTCCATGCATGCTACACTGCTTCATACTTGATCTAACAAATACAATTGATTGTTACTGTCATCAATTCTGTAATACCTGAAAGACTTCTCATCATGCAGTTAGCCCCGAGACCTCTGTTTGTGATTTTCATGTGTGTAACTGGCTGCATTCATGATTAAAGGCCTGAACCTGCCCTCCCTAGTCAAGTGCCTGTGTAAGCACTAGAAAAAAACAGCCCACAAGGGTTAATAAAAAAGCTCTAGAATTCATTGTTCTTCACTAACATTTTCCAGCCAACTGCTTTTTCATATACTGTTAGTATACTATGTGCTGTAGAAAGTAGCTATATGTATCCTCAGAGACTTGCATACCAAATAATACAGAGCATTGCTGTGTAATAGAATTTCTGCAAATGCAGCACTTATTTTTACATGAACTGATCCACAATTTTCTTCCATCTCTCTTCTTTCCAACCACAAGGCTGCAATAATACAGGAAAGATCATGCAAATCCATGAGATTTTGCACTTAGTAGTTGTATTGGTTTTGTGTGGCAAGGTTTTGGTAGTGGGGGGGGGTTACAGGGGTGGCTTCTGTAAGAAGCTGCTGGAAGCTTCCCCTGTGTTCGAGAGAGAGCGAGCCCATACCAGCCAGCTCTGAGACGGACCCGCCACCGGCCAAGGCCGAGCCAATCAGTGATTGTGGTAACGCCTCTGTGATAACATTTTTTAAGAAGGAAAAAAAGTTGGGACAGTGAGAAAACAGGAGCCGGAGCGAGGAGTGAGAACATGTAAGAGAAACAACCCTGCGGACACCAAGGTCAGTGAAGAAGGAGGGGGAGGAGATGCTCCAGGCGCCGGAGCAGAGATTCCCCTGCAGCCTGTGGTGAAGACCATGGTGAGGCAGGCTGTAGAGGTCCACGGTGGAGCAGATATCCACCTGCAGCCCGGGGAGGACCCCACGCCGGAGCAGGTGGGTGCCCAAAGGAGGCTGTGACCCCGTGGGAACTCCACACTGGAGCAGGCTCCTGGCAGGACCTGTGGATCTGTGGAGAGAGTAGCCCATGCTGGAGCAGGTTTTTTGGCAGGACTTGTGACCCCGTGGGGGACCCACGCTGGAGCAGTGTGCTCCTGAAGGACTGCACCCCGTGGAAAGGACCCATGCTGGAGCAGTTCGTGAAGAACTGCAGCCCGTGGGAAGGACCCACGTTGGAGAAGTTCGTGGAGGACTGTCTCCCGTGGGAGGGACCTCACGCTGGAGCAGGGGAAGAGTGTGATGAGTCCTCCCCCTGAGGAGGATGAAGCGACAGAAAATAATGTGTGATGACCGTAAACCCCATCCCCGTCCCCCTGTGCCGCTAGAGGGGGTTTGGTAGAGAAATCTGGGAGTGAAGTTGTGCCTGGGAAGAAGGGAGGGGTGGAGGGAAGGTGTTCTGAGATTTGGGTTTATTTCTCATTAGCTTACTCTGGTTGATTTGTAATAAATTGAGTTAATTTTCCCCAAACTGAGTCTGTTTTGCCTGTGACAGTAATTGGTGAGTGATCTCTCCTGTCCTTATCTCAACCCACAAGCTCTTTGTTATATTTTCTCTCCCCTGTCCAGCTGAGGAGGCGGAGTGATAGAACGGCTTTGGTGGGCACCTGGCATCCAGCCAGGGTTAACCCATCACAGAAGTGTGAAAACTAGCTTACTGAAACATAGACCTATTGTAGTGGCACATGAAAAAGAGCCAATTTAAAATGGCTAATGGAGAGCTAAAACACTGAGCAGCACAAACTCTGTGGTGGCTTTTTTGTGCTCTTCCTTGAGTATATTTGCATATAATTCAGAAACTTGCATAGTCTACCTTATCAATTCATTCACTATAACCAGAGTTGCCTTCTTTTCCACAGCTAAGCGCCACTCCTAGACAAAAGATTGAAAAGTTTGGCCTACTTGTGCTGGGCCTGGCTAGCGTAGAGTTAATTTTCTTCATAGCAGCTCATATGGTGCTGTGGTTTCTATTTTTGACCCAAACACTGGTAACACAATAATGTTCTAGCTCTTGCTGAGCAGTGTTCGCACAGCATCAAGGCCTTCTCTGTTTCTCTCTTGGCCCCTCAAGTGAATACATTATGGGGGGTGCACAATAGGTTGGGAGGGGACACAACATGAGCAGATGACCTGAACTAACTAAAGATGTATTCCATACCATATAACATGCTTAGCAATTAAAAGGAAAAGAAGGGGGTTTGGAGGGGGTAGCCATTTTTTGCTCAGGAACTGGCTGGGCATCATTCTGCCCATGGGAAGTGGTGAGTGTTGCCTTTACATCGCTTGTTTTGTTTTGTTTTCTTCTCTCTTCTTCCACTTATCCTTCACTTATTAAACTTTTTTTTATCTTGACCCCCAAGTTTCCTCGCTTTTATTCTTCCTTTCCCCTTCCCTTGTCCCCCTGGGGGAGGGGGGGGGGGGGAAGTGAGCAAGCAGCTGTGTGGTGCTTAGCTGCCCACCAGGGTTAACCCACAACACCACTACAGTGCAATATATCAATGTTGGAAAAGGGCTGAGGAGGGCGATTTCCTCCATGACTGTATAGCTAGAAGTGATT